ATAATGGCATGTTAATTAAATTCAGGCTGGATTTCATTCAGCTCTGCAGAATGCTGTCTTACCTCACTGAGGTGTAGTTACTATGTGGCTGGTTTTGCTATACTGTCTTTGGCTTTACTGGCACTTTTTTGTGGTCTCACTGAATGTTCACTGGTTTCACTGTTATTTTTTGTGATCCAGGAAAAAGAAGAAGTGATGAAGTGATTCGAAGTGCAGCCAAGAGACAAAAATCTGAGAACAGTGCTGAGCACCCTGCGTTTTACTACAATATCCACAGACACAGTATTAAAGGAATGAACATGCCAAAGTAAGTTTAACTTTAATGCCAAAGTTTTGTTTAACTTCTGGTCTAATATTACTATAGCAACTGATACATAACTTGTATTTAGTCACCCTTACAAGCATCAACTCCTTTTTATATTGCTAGTTTAGTTTCTTTTTTACTTCTTGTTTGTTTCTTTCTTCCAGGTTAAATAAGTTCTTAAACTATCTTTCTGAAGCTGGATTCCGAGTAAGTAGAACCCACTTTGATCCTATGGGAGTTCGCACGAATGCGCCCTTGGCACAATTTAAGACTATCCTTACGAAGTACAGCATTCCCACATACACGGCAGGACAGGCAGAAGGCCCTGTCCATCTAACTGAAGGTGTCCTGGCAGAACAGGTTCAAGCTGCTGCAGCTGTCAAGGCAGAGGATGTTGAGTTTCTGGAAGATGGTAAATCTGGAATCACTGCTGCCATGTTCACAAACGACTACCCTACTCACGGCGCAGCTGATTAGTGCAAATAATTTTGTTCATAGATAGGATATTGCAGACCTGCAGTCACACCCTGTTGAAGTAAGCCACCACTTCTTACCAAACTGGATTTTGAAAATTTGAGATATCTGCTCTTTTGACAGATGTGTTAGAATTGTGTGGCAGAATTTACCCCTGATCACAGCGTGTGTGTGGTCAACGTACTGTTACTGTGAAAGGGTCTCAGAGGCATTTACTTGGATCTATGCTCACATCCACATTCAAACTGAAGCATTGTGGCTGCTGCTGAGTGTTTGTCGAAGCCTTATTGCTAGCACAGAATGCAGAAGAGTGGGTGGGGCCAAAAGTCTTTAAGCATTTCTGAACATGAGGTTAATGTGAAATGGAATAGTCCTAAAATTAATCATTCCTAAAACCTCACTGGTTACAACTCAGAGGGGGCTCACTTTAAGATGGTAAAATAAGACAGAATAAAATGTTAGCTGAGTTTAAGCAAGTTAGAAAGTTCTGGCTCAGGACTTATAAGTCCAGATTGCACATGTAATTTGGCATTCAGTTCTGTTTTCATTGTTCTGCCTACAAGCAGGGACCTAGCACAGGTGAGAATGCAATAGAATGGTTACATTACTGTTACTGAAACTTCCGTTTATAACCAAACTTTAGTGAATTGTGTTAGTCACTCCGGGTAGTTGTTTGGTTAGAGTTTACATTTGGTTGAGTATTGCAATAAAGGTACAGTGACGATGCACCACAGCTTGGAAGCTCTACTACAAATTTGTCAATAATACAGTCTTAGTGGTTAAAAAGATCTCTTCTGTGAATAAGCAAAGATGCTGTGTGTTGGCAGTCAGTTCTGGTTTCCTTAAATACATGGCAACATTCCAGCCAAATCAGCTTGACTTTTCTCCTTTCTTTTCCCCAAACTTTGTTCAGATACCTCCATATATTCAGTTTGGAACAGCTTTCAAACTTGAACCAGTCATTCCAGTTTTTCACAGGTTTGGCATTAGATTTATCTAAGAACAGAATGTGAGAGGTTATTACTTATCCATCTCTGAAGCTTCACAGTAAGTATTTTTTTCTCACACATTGAAAGCTAATCAAGAGTAACATGACTGATGCGCCTCTGATTATGCAAAACTACCTAAGCTCCTACTAGGCCAGAATGAAGTTGCTGTCTCTTAGGCCAACTTAAACTCAGCCCTGAGGTGGTAGTGAGTTACTCTCATTCTGTCCTAATATATATATATATATAAAAAAAAGAAAAAAGAGGAGATTGCTAAAGGAATCATAGATTGCACTTCAGCAGTGATACAGCAACAAAGTTTCCTTCAAAAATTGAGTGCTTATAGTTCTTTTCCAAAGATAACATGGGATTGAATTGAAAAGATAAATGCAAGAAAAAGAAATTGGTGTTCCCTAGTTCAGAGTAAGTGCCGACGCTGTTGTAAGACTTTTGTTTGCAGACAACACCCTGCTTACTCGAGTGTTAATATTTAAGTGGGATAGAATCAGTCATAAAGTCAGTTAACTGGAGAAAAAAAAGAATGCTCCAATTACAGTAAAATAGGCTTAAAAAAGTTTAAGTGAAGCCTGTTGTGAGAAATATTTTTTATTACTTTCACAGTTTCTCCCAGTATAACAGCATTGTGCACCTTTTCTAAGTCAAAGCAACTAGTCCTTAATGTTTGCAGATATGCACAGGGAGGGGCACAGAAAGTGACGTTCAGGCTTTTCCCCACAATTCAGGCTTTTTTTCCTCTGTCAGATGGCCAGAAGCCATCAAAATCTGGGACAAGGAGATTTGACTGTTGTAAGTAAGTGACCAGCAGAAGAGGTGTTTGTAACTCAGGCCTGTGAGGATTCACTTTCTCTTCAATAGATGACTCAGTTGTTCATCAGGCAGGGTCAGTCCTGCAATAATTAGTTAACAGAACACCAGTGTTGGTTCAGGGCTGTTGTTTAGGGGTTTCTCTTTTATTTTTCAATTCTATTATAAGGTATAGACTAGTGCCTCAACCCAACTGGTACATTCCAGTTACACTACACTGTTTCTGTTGAAGCTGCTTAATACACAATTAAATGCAACCAAAGCTGATGGGTTTAACATGAGTGCTGTGAAAATCCTTCATACTATTTCTCGTGGTACAGAATATGATTAGAACAGCAGCACCTATGACTGGTAAGTGGTAAAGCAGCTATCTTTTATATGGATTTGCATTTCTCATTCATGGTATGCAACATGCACAGGAGCTCAGCTGGTTTCAATGGGCTAACTGTGCTGAGGACCAGACTCAGATTGACACTAGTGGAAGTCAGCTGGTCCCTTTCTTTTGGACAATAAATCATAAACACAGCAGCACTAACAAAGTTGTCCAAAGGGTTTCTTTCATGAATTGTAGGAGGAAGCAGCACTGGAATTTCCAACAGATTATTGACAATTTCTCTTTTATTGTCAGTTTGGCAGTTTCAGTGTGAGCATCTCCCTTATGAGGAAGGACTGAGGGAGCTGGGTCTCTATAGTTTGGAGAAGAGGAGATTGAGGGGTGACCTTACTAGTATATATGAATACATAAAGGGGGAGTGTCACGAGGATGGAGCCAGGCTCTTCTCAGTGGCAAACAATGATAGGACAAGGGGCAATGGGTACAAACTGGAACACAAGAGGTTCCACTTAAACTTGAGAAGAAACTTCTTCTCAGTGAGGGTGACAGAACACTGGAACAGGCTGCCCAGGGAGGTTGCGGAGTCTCCTTCTCTGGAGACATTCAAAACCCACCTGGACACGTTCCTGTGTAACCTTATCTAGGTGTTCCTGCTCCGGCAGGGGGATTGGACTAGATGATATTTTGAGGTCCCTTCCAATCTCTAACATACTGTGATACTTGAGCTATGCTTACATGTACCTAGCACACATTATGTTCTTAACATGGCTTTAAAAAGTGGAAGGGTAAAGTTGTCTTGAAAACAAAGGTTTATAGGAGTAAAGAGCCACAGTGCAATCAATGGTTTAATCAAACAACTACATTATATATATAATATTTAAAGAACATAAATATTCAATAAATTCACTACAACATGAAAATAAAAGCTTCACATTCTCCCACGCTTTTTAAAGAACTGGGGACAAAGTGACAGACGCCTCCTAGACAGACTGCTCAGTTTCACAAACATCTCTCTTGCTTAAGGGACTGAACATTACCTTAGCTATCACAATGGGAAGGTATGCTGCAACTAATCTAGAAGATTCCCCATATATTTTAAAGCATTTATAATCGCTGCTCCCTTCCACCCCCCCCAGATTATATTTAGTGGACATGCACTACTAGTCTACACAATGCAACATTTCATCAGAAATTCATGAACAATGTAGTTCCTTAAAAACTGCCCCCTCTGTGTTCTGGGGCCTGAAAACTTCATTTCCTGTCACAAAAAACCAAAGTATTTCCAGTAAGAGAAAAAAGTTACTCAAAGGAGTATGTGCAGTTTTCACATTGGGATACAGCTGATATGAAGCAGCAGTCAGAATAGATGCATATTTACAAGTGCTAGGCTTGAAAGACACAAGCCATGGAAGGGTACTTCCTTCTTTATGTACCACATGCCAAAACTGGTCTTAATTACAGGCAAGAAGAAGAAGGAGCAATACCGTATGGTTTAAAACACATTACTTCTCACCTATCATTGCAACTTTTCTTGCTTCTAGCTTCAGGTGCAAATGGGTGCAAGATTCATCAGCAAGTCTTAGAGCAAAGGAAATTCACAGTAACATATTTTCCCTTAAAACGGATTGCTAATGGATAAAGCGGCCCCAATTAGGTGGCAGCAAGGTCCAGAAGGAAGCAAGAGGAATTTAACATGCAAATGAACAGTAGCTACTGGATTTTACATAACGGCTACTGCCAAGTTTTAAAACTTGAACCTAAATTGAAGACACTAAATGGTAAACTTTGTCAAGTACTAAAACTGTCTTCCAAAGTGCTAAACCACATCTGTTAAGCTATGGTAAAAAACAAACAAACAAACAAAAAAAAACCTGAAAGACAAAAGTAAAAGAAAACAAACCTCAAGCAGCTTATGTCCTCCCTGCTCAAACTGAAGCCCGGATAAGCTCCCAGCTGGGGTGGTGGGGTGGCACAAATTCCATAAAGCAAAGCATTTTGATGTTGCATTATGCCCATGTGCTGGAATTTGGGGCATTTGCTTTTAAAAAAACCCAGACTTTTCAGAACAGTTCTTTACAGAACATTCTAATACATTCACAATAAAAATCTGTTGTTACAGGGAACATAGTAAGGCTGTAAAACTTCCAGATTTTCTTCAATTAGGCTTGTGAGGACACTACAACATAGACCCCATGGGAAGCTGTAGTATGCATCAAGATTGGCATGTTCTACATGGGAAGGTTACGGGTTTGGCTTGTTTAGGGTTTGTTGGGTTTTTTTTTTGACTGGCTTGCTTTTTAATGGGTATTTCAATCTCATGAATCACCTTGCACTGAAGTATTAGGCCCAGTAAACAGCAAGGTTTTAAAGTGTCAGTTTTCTCACTACATCTCTGTTCACAAGAAAATGACTAATTGGATTACTTCTAGCTGCAAGACTATCAGAAATCCTTTACCAATCATTCATATGGATAACCATTAGCAAAGTACAACATTTAACACATTCCTTTGTATATGTTACTATTGAATAGACTTACTTAGCCATCCAATGCTCAATACTTCACAGAGGCTACTATAACTGTGTCAAATGTATTAGAAATCCAGATTTACCTGGACAAAATAAGACATTCCAAACTGGAACACTCATTCAGTTATCATGCATTAGGAACAAAAAAGCATGTCAAACACTGGAATGCACTGGAGAAGGTCATTTAGTCTCCTAGGGAAAAAACCAAAAGCCCAAAACAAAGACTAAATTAAATACAACCCAGAATATTAATAAGTATACTGAGAGCCTGAAGGCATGTGTATTGTCCATGAATGTAATGGTGGTGCCTTCTTTTAATATTAAAGAAGTCAGCTATAAAAAGAGTTAGTCCCATCTCAGTTTTCCAGCACAGCTTATTTATGTTCCTTTGTTGGTGCATAGTACAGTTCCATGGGTTTGTTCACTTTCCAGTACTTCTCACTGACCAGTTCCAAGGAAAAGGACCCATTTAATACCTAGAAGAGAACACCAAAACAGAAATTAACTGTCTGATGGTTTGCAAGGCTAGTGCTGTAGAAACAGACTATTTAAATTAGAGGACTGTGCCAGCTTAAGGGCATCACCAATAATGTGGCACAAGTTATTAGCTGAACACCAGGTGTCAAAACGCAGCAATGCAAGCTGTTGTGAACTCTTGCTGATCTCACTAAAACGGCACCCAAGAACATTTTTGCAAAGTGAATATAGTTGTAAGTAAACTTCAGTTTTTCCTCTTTCCTCTCTCTGCAAACAGGGGACTAGTAGATCGTATTTAGACAAAAGCAGAGATGTTTCTGGTGTAAGGGACACCCTCTAGTCTGTTTGAAATAGACTCTTAATGCAAAGCATCTGCTTATCTCTGGCTGGTTACTTGGGACATGGAGAAGGCAGACATATTTAATAATTTTTTTGCTTTGGTCGTTATCAGCAAGTGCTCCAGCCACACTGCACAAGTCACAGGAGGCAAAGGCAGGGACTGGGAGAATGAAGAACTGCCTATTATAGGAGAAGATCAGGTCTGAGATTGTCTAAAGAACCTAAAGTTACACAAGTCCATGGGAGCTTATGAAATGCATGTGCAAGTCCTGAGGGAACTGGTGAAGTTGCCAAGTCATTTTTGCCTTATATTTGAGAAGTCATAGCAGTCTGGTTAAGATCCCACTGACTAGAATAGGGCAAACATAACACCCATTTTTAAAAGGGGAGAAAAGTAAGACCCAGCGAGCTACAAACTGGTCAGTCTCATCTCAGTGCCTGGCAAAATCATGGACCAGTTCCTCCTGGAAATTATGCTAAGGCACATGGAAAATGAGGAGGTAATTGTTGACAGCCAACATGGCTTTACCAAGGGCAAACCATGTCTGACAAATGTGGTGTCCTTTTATGACAGGGTGACAGCACTGGTGGATAAGGGAAGAGGAACTGACATCATCTGCTTGGACTTGTGCAAAGCATCTTGACACTGTCCCATGCAACGTCCTTGTCTCTAAACTGGAGAGGCATGGATTTCATGGATGGACCACTCAGTGGATAAGGAATTGGCTGTATGGTCACACTCAAGAGTTGCAGTTGCACTCAAAGGTTGCTCGATATCTGGGTGGAGACAAGTGACATTTCCCAGGGGTTGGTATTGCAACTGGCACTGTTTAACATCTTTGTTGGCGACATGGACAGTGGGGTTGAGTGCACCCTCAGCAAGTTTGCTGGTGACACCAGACTCTGGTGCAGTCAACATGCTGGAAGAATAGGGATGCCATCCAGAAAGCCAACCCTGTGCTTGGCTGCATCAAAAGGAGGTCCTTGACCAGCAGGTCAAGAGAAGTGATGCTCCCCTTCTATTCCACTCTTGTGAGACCCCACCTGCAGTACTGTGTTCAGCTCTGGGGCCCCCAATACAAAAAGGATGTGGACCCACTTGAGTGAGTCCAGAGGAGGGCCACAAAGATGCTCAGAAGACTGGGTCACCTTTCCTATGGAGACAGACTGATGGAGTTGTTCAGCCTGGAGAAGAGAAGGCCCCAGGGAGACCTTACAGCAGCCTTCCAAGTACCTATAGGGGGCCTACAAGTCTGAAGAAGGACTTTTTATAAGAACTAGTTAAAGACATGGGGCAATAGCTTAAAACTGAAAGAGTAGATTTAGATCAGGAAGAAGTTTTTTCTTGTGAGGGTGGTGAAGCACTGGAACAGGTTGCCCAGAGAAACTGTGGCCACCCCATCCCCGGAAATGTTCAACACTAGGTTGGTATGGGGCCTTGAGCAACCAGAGGAGTTGAACTAGATGATCTTTAAGGCCCCTTCCAATCCAAACCATTCTATGGTACAATTTTATGGTTAAACATATGACTGACTTTATTCAGATAAATGTCCAGGCTCAGAGATCAGTCTAATTGAGATATTGCCTTTTATCTATATTCTGAAGTCAGCAACTGACAGCAGTGGTTCTTCCCTAAGCATACTTAGCTATTTCATAGTGGAACTGTGGAAGCCTACATGGAAGAGGAGAAATGCCACCTTAAAATAGACACTTCCTAGTGCTAGAGCTATCTGCTCTTGAAACAAGATTCTCAGATGAAGTAATATTTTTTCTCTTAAATTTTAACTGTAACATAATAGCATAAGTCAGCTTGTAGCTGCTGTCATCACTGCATTTTCCAAAAGTAACTCATATACCTCCTTTTCTACTACCAAAGTTTTTACTGTACACTTTTTCTTAAAAAGCAATTTATCTGTCTCTAATAAACAATCTGCTGCTATGAATTTTACCCCTAAGCCAACCGTAGAAAAGTCCAGCTGAGTGGATTTTAGTGAGATCTATATCAAAGATATACTGATGCTCAGTGTTACTCTTAGGCACAAGTTCTACTCACAGTGAACTGCCCATTGGCAGTAGCAATGTAAATGGTATACTGCTTCTCACTGGCTGTGTCAAGGTTCATCTGGTTTGATTCTCCTTTGCTACGAAGCTCCTCCAAAGCCAGTCTTACTGCTAGATACTTGGACAAGTGATCAACAGTGGCATTGCCTGAGGTCTTGATGTATCTGTCACAACAACCACAAAGGTAATCAGACATTTGAGTTGCAGGTATGGGAACAAGACAGCTGGAACACCCCCAGATATTAAGCATCAAGTGTGAAAGGCCTTTAAAGACAGCTTACAAACAAGAATTATAATTGCTTTCACCCCTGCCTTGCAAGCAGCTTACTAAATTAAATTGCTCCTAAGTGTTCTTGCATCCCTTTGACACTTCTCCCACAGGCCCTCCTGCTCTTTTGTAGAGAAAAGACAACACTGTCCTGTCATCTGCTCAAAATGAAAAACCTTATAACAGGTTCTCAAGGGGTTTTGAGAACTACTCACAGCTGCTGAAACCTGATCATAACTACAGTCTGAAGTGTCTGGACAGAAAGCCATGAAAGTGCCAGAGCTATACATGAGACACTCTCTGCACCTCTGCTCTTTGTTAAAGTTACTTATTGTCTCACAATCTGCTCTCACTTCAAGTCTTTATTCAAGAATTAAAGGCTGACACAAATGCTGTAGAGGCCTCTCCCAGAAGCTCGGCTTTCTTTTTTGCCTTTCAGCACAACACCAAGAATTCCCTTGCAATTCCAAACCAAAAAGAAAAGCTGGCTGAGGCTTATAATACATTTAAAGACACTACAGAGATATGTTTCATCATGACAGGAAGCCAGGAAGGGACCTGAGGAAAATATGAGACTGCTCATTGCTGTGATCCAAAATTTGCAGTCTGTGCTTGGACTGGATCATGAAAAAAAATGCCAGGAAAAGCTTCCAGCCTACAAAACCACAAATCCTGCTGACACAAAGCTGCTCTGAAAACTGCTGACATGGATAGTTTGTTTATTCCCAAAGAATCTTAGAATAAGTAGAAAGGGGCTGATGCCATCATCCTAGTACCTACTGTGAATTGCAACACTAGAAACTCTTAAAAACATCTTTATCTGCAAAGGCTTAAACCAGATTGTTACTGTATTTCTGATAACCATTGAGCAGTACCATCTACCTGACTTGAAACAGAAAGACAGGAAGAGTGCACATAGTTAAACAGCATGTGGTATGACCAAAAGTAAATTGATTTTTAAAAGCCCCAAGAAGTGCTAGAAAACAAAATCACCAGAAAATAGCAGCAGCATTCATGAAGAGGAATAGAAGACATTTACCTTGTCTGTGCACTGTCATCATTCTCCATGAGGGTCGGGTGAGGCCTGAAGACTAATTCAATTTCACTAGCACCATCCATTACAGGGTCTATTGCCACAGTTGTGTTGTTATTGTCCAATTCTAGCCCAGAGTCATCCGATGTTTTGGTTCTCTTATTACTAGGCCCTGCTTCCTGATTGCTGTGTGTTGAGGCATTGCTACAGTGTGAACTGTCACCATTATCCTCTGCACCACTACCATTCTCAATCTGTTGTTTCTTGCCCCTCTGCAACCTAATCAGAAATAGGTAGAAATAAACACTAAGCCAATGCAGTATAAGCACAAGCTTCAGAGATATACAAAGTTTAAACAACAAAAAAAATCCATTCTTACTAAAAAAAAAAACAAAAAACACAAAAAAAAACCAAAATCATAGACAAGATTATAGATTTTTTCCTATCCCTCAAACATCTTTTAGACATGTTATAGACATGGGTTTAGATATGTTTTAAGATAATTTTTAACTTCATATGTTTATTTTTATTTTTCAGGCAATTTCAGACCCTTATTTTCATCTAAATATGAATCTGTATGTGATTAAAATACAAATGACACCATGCTTCACCATAACGTAACATCTGGGGCCTCCTTCCCAGCTGGCTCTCTTAGATTTAAATACACACCCAGAATTTCACTACTGTGGGAAAAACACGTATTCCAGCCTTGTGAATTAAGTCAGAACTAAAACATAATTTCTGGTGGTATGTGTATTTATTTGTAGGTAATGACAGTATGTTGGAACAGGATTAATTGTATTACAGTTTATTACCTAAAACACAATAGCCGTAATTTGGTAAAGCTAAAATGAAATCTGTCTATGTCAGGCTGCCACAGAAGTTGCAGGGAGTGATACAAAGGTTTCTATCAGTAGATAAAAGGTTACAAACTATTTTGGCAGACTTCACAGGAGGGTATCTCAAGCTATATGGGGAGTGAGGACAGACTTTTTACTGTCAAAGTAAAAAAGGCTACACATGGACAAATCACATGGATTACATACCTGTTCATCGCTTGAATCTTTAATCCTTCCTCAATGCTGTGACTTAAAGCTTGCTGGTTATTGTGCTTGCTGATTCTTGCTAGCACTCTCTCCTGATGAGCTTCATACTCATCTCGGCTTGGATAAATTTTACTGATGAGAGCATCAAAATTGGGATCTGGTCTCAATGACCTTTTTGAAACCAGCTTTTTACGACACGTGGGACATTCTTTGTTGCTGGACATGAACAAGAAGGAAGAAAACAATACTAACTCTCCAGCAAGAACAAGTCTGTTCTGACATTGCAATTCATACGCAAAGTGCTCACTAACACTGAATATTTATAGTCAACTTTGAATAGGGCTTCTATCTTTTGACAGATCAGGTAGTTACAGATAGATATTTAAGCAAAAAACCCCAAACACATCTCCCTGCTTCTTGGGGGGTTTCTTTGTTTTGTTTTTAAAGTACGTTTAAACAAACTATATTTAAGAGTTCAAAAGTTCCACTCTGCAAACCAGTTCTTCCCTTAACCCTGTGACTGGATTTTCACCTAGAAAAAATGCATGTCTAGTGGAAATTATATTGAGGCATAGTCTTTCTCGCACCTACAGGACAAAAGAAAGATTAAGGAACCTGTTCTGTAGTTGAAGCACTAACTACTGCAAAAACTAAGAGAGTCTTCTCCTTCTTAACATTTTGTTCCCATTTAACTAAAATGCTAGGTTCACACAGTGTTTTTCCTGTTAAAGGGAGAGGCCTGAATAGCTGAAACATTGGCATCATTACTTGTTTCTCTCTAATGTATTTTTGCTCATTACTCATCAGAATTTAAAGAGGCACAGTAAATTAAGTGCAAACACAAGTAATTGCCATTATCAAGAATAGGTGCATCATTAACTTACTGTTGATTACCTCAGAATTCTACTGCTTTTGGGGAAATGTGAACTTGTAACTGAAGAATACAAGAAAAATTATTTTTACTTTATCGTAAGTTGTTTCAGTACTGAAGTTTGGAAGCAGAAACACAGTTGCAAGGACACGATTTGCAATTTATTATTAGGAAAAAAAAGAAGGGAAATGGGACTCATTTTTGAAAGTAATGTGTATTTTTTTGTTTTGCTAGTAATGGATCTTAAAAAAAAAAAAAGAGGTTTTTAACTCCTTGCAATGATTTTTCACATGAGGAAACAAACAGATCTGGTCTGCCACAGATAGCTGAACACACAAGAATGAAATATGGAAGGTGTGTTACACATTCAGAAATTTGCAGGGCACAGGCATGTAACTGTTCCACATCAACACCCAGGACTTGAGGGATTTCCTTGATCACGTTTTCATCTAAAGTGAAATCCCTTTTCTTGTAATGATATTTACATACCCACTCCTGAGGGCTGTAATGATACAGTCAGCACAGAAGCGATGCAAACATTCTTTTGTTGTCATGGTGTTTTTTAACATATCCAAGCAGATGGGACACATCAGTTCACTGTGCAGGCTCCTGGGTGACACAACTATTTCCAAGCCATCAGTGATTGCTTCCTAACATGAAATAAAGTACAACTTCTTTAATCGAATTTAGTAGCTTTTTCAGAAAGATTGCATGTTTTCCTATTTCTTTAAGAGAAACACAGTAAAAAGACCAAAAAAAAAAAAGAAAAAACAAAAAACACCTGCACAACCACATCATGCACACACACACACATGCTGCTAAAGAAAGGAAAAAAAACCAACCCAACAACTTTATTTTTGGTTGATTGGTTGGTTTTAATATCACAAGAGAGGTTTTGTTTTGGAAGGATTTTGATTTTAAATATGGTATAATTTAGAATAGGCAGTTAGCACTCCTAAAGGACAATCTTACACATCAAGCTTCAAGTTATAAAAAGTATCTTAAAAAGCCCTGCCTTAAAGGCCATTTCTTTAGCACATATTACCTGAGGTGTTCTTTGCAATTCATACAAACTAAGCTCCCACGTTTTGCTTAAAGGTTGCGTCCCATTCGTCTGCACGGCTTGAGACATGGCTGGGAAGAAAGAGAGAAACAAGTTGCACACTGCCATACACTTGGCTACAGGAGCCAGCTCTTTTGAGCAGGCTTCTCTGGCAAGTGCGGAGTCACAGGAGTCTGTGCCAACAAAGCAGAAACACAGGAGGAGCCCTTGTTCATCCAGGTACCAGGCTCCACTTTGTTACAGATGGCTAACCCTGTGCTCTGTACCACTCCAGAAAAATCAGAGGGAGTCAGTCAGCCGTGAACACTTTGCAAAAAAATCAATTAAGACTGTTAAACAAAAGTGACACAGAACTGAAGGCTGTAAAATTTGGCTGTGTGATGTGAAAGCTGCAAATGCCACCTGATGTGGAAAACATTCATAAAACATCCACTTATAAATGTGCATGTGGGTCAAACAGGTCTACTTCCTAACCAAGTGGAAGGTCATCATACACAGCAAACTAGCTAAACATGTTCACTGGAAGCATGCTATAATGCTTTTCTTTTTCCTCCTGAAAATACATCATCAGGGGTTTCCAACAGAATTTTAGAGAATTCTAAAGGTCAAGTAAAACCTAGTCACTGGGTAATTTCAATCAAGAGCTTCAATTTTACTGCACAGTCCTGCTGGGCTTCAGCTGATGTGCACCTGATTCTCAATGACCTGGGGAGGTGGGGGAGGATGGGGGTGGTGAGACGTTTTTAAGTTTCAGAAACCCAAATCATACACACATTATCAGGGTTTTTTTTGTATCAGTAGCAGTAGACAGATACTTCTGGAAACAGACAGGGCTAGAAATAACTGCACTCAACAGAAGACTAATAGACTCCACAACCACTGCTGCAGAATTTGCTCACAGGGAGAGGAGAGGGGACAGTCATCTCCATCTTTCCCCTGAGGCAGGAAAACTTACCCCACACTGTGTATGTTTAAAGAATAAATGTAACCATATAAGAAGCAAGACTGTAGCTGCAGACATTTCTACTAGGTGGAAAAATTGGAGTGCTTTCTCCCTTTTTATAAGGGTTTTATTTTTGTTTTGTTGTATTTCTTTTTGTGGTTTTTTGTTTGTTTGTTTGTTTGTTTTGGGGTTGTTTTTTTTTTTTATTAACCTAGGCTTGTATTTCCAGACCATCCAAATCAGCAGCCAAATGCAGAATCTACTGGCATCTGCCAGGTACATTATAATCCCCTTTCCAATTCATCAAGTTCTATAGGAAAACGATCTAACTCTCTGGAGAACAAGGTTGCTTTATAAGTTTTAATTAATTGTTGAGGGAAAAGCAATAGAAACAGTGCAGCAAAGAGTATTATATCTACTTTTACCCAGGCACAGAAACTATAGTTTTCTTACCTTATGAAAAAAGGAGAGGGTAAAAAAAAAAACAGCCTGAGAAAGTAACCAAGTCCACTACTTTGTCTAATAAGCAATCAGGGACTAAAGACGTGTCAAAAGAAATAATTAGGAGATGACAGACTGTCAACTCCAATTTTTACTATATAAATATTGTGCCCTAAAAATGCAGTTTACTTGCCACAAGAAACACGTTCCTCTGTGTGGATCAGAAAAGTAAGATCTCACCTCCCCATTAAAAGTGACAAGCCATCACAACCCAGCTGCAGACTGTCAGCTCCCCATCTGGCCAAGCATTGGGCTGTCCTGTCAGGATTCAGGGCATTTTATTTAAATTATTCCAAGGTATGAATTTAATTACGGTATTAAGTGACAAATCTCAGTAAAGAAACAGCACTGAAAAGCATACTAATGGCAAATAAAAGAAACAGTATTTCTGTGTTCTAATTTCCACTATTATTTAAGGTAAGGATTTTTATTATGTGTTGTTGACAGTCAGTTGTTGTAACAGAGGCCCAACATTATTATTCTGTGTCCACACTGGATACTGCTCTTGAGTGTTTTAAAAGCTGACACATTTAATTAACTATTATTCCAACTACTAAAAGAAATTTGTGAAGCTGCAGATCATTCACATCTTTCCCAAAATCTGCTGAAACATACAGTCAAGACTGCAGCAAAGACAACTAAGTCCCACTAAATCCAACCTGCCTTAACAGAAAAGCCTGCTCCAAACATTATGCAGCTCTATCACAATAAAGAGCGGCCCCATAGTAAAGAGATGGTCACATGCACAAGTAACTTCTTGCCTAAGCTTGCAGGCCTACACTTGCTAACAGAGAAAAGCAGCTCTCCAGGTGCCAAACTGCCAGCAAACCTATCAATCTGGAGAAAAAGTGTATTAACAGTACCATTTATATTGCAACCTTGCCTACAAGCTTGAGGCTACACTGCAGAACACATGGTACAAATGTCATGATAAATAACTGATCAACTTTATTCTACAGGCTTCTAATCTGAGATGCCAAGTCCTTCATTCTCACCCTAAGCTCTGCAGTAATATCACTTTAAATTTTTTAAGGAGGAAAACCCTGGCCTGAAAGCTGGACAGATTCACACAATCCCCTTCATCACTAGTAAACACTTCCTCCGCCTCTGGTATGTCCAAAGTCAAAATCTGAGCACCACTGGAAACATGGTCAATTCAAACATGTTGATCAGATCTTTTCAATTTCCTAAACAAAGATGACCAGATTTCTTCTTCACAGCTCACAGGTGCTAGCATTAGGAACAGTGTGAAGTCAGGTACCTCCTGTGAGCCTTTTCTCATCATTAGGTTTTTGAAAAATCTTCTAACACACACCACAACTTTTTAATTCTTATCAATTTTTACTTTTATGACTTGTATATACCCTCTGGATATAAGAGGAGAGCAACCAGCCACACAACAGAGTGATATAAGGGGGAGAAGCTACATTCCTGTAGGCAGATCAAATATCTTCCTCTCAGAGTCATTAATGAGTCCCAGTTATTGTGATTTACGATATAGCCAGAGGACAGTATTCTAAGGAAACCTGCAATTCTTCAGACTGACTCAGTCTTCGAGGCACAGTAAAACTCTTAAGGACAAACTTAATAATTACAGAGTACACACATCTGTCACTATCAAAGCAAGAGCTGACTGATATAACCAAAAGAATATATTACAGATCTGAGAGCAATAAACACTATGAATCTCTTCATGTTTGATTCCTTGTCACTCCCCAGTTCCAAACAGCATCTGAAAAAAGGGAAGCAAGCTAACATTCAGTATTTAGTCATAAAACTTGCCTAGTTGTGTAGTGTTATTTATAGAGAAAACTGGAAGATGAGACAGGGAGATCACTAAAGATTATCAGGACATGTAAATTTTGATTTCTTTGTACCCAGAATGTTTCCGAGTTCTCCACATTGCCAGAGCATCAAAACCAAAGTAAAACAAAACTCACCTGTACTGCTTTTAAGGAGCTTCAGAAACTTTTGATCAGTATTATATATAACCAAACTTTATCTACACGTGGAACAGCCCCTTAACTAGAGCTGGGAGATGAGCCCGCCAGCTTCAGTGAAAAGCACCATATAACTTCATTTGAAAATCTTGCTATTTAATTTGGATTTCCTTGTAAAACAGGCTTATGCAGTCTTGCTCCTTGTGCTCATCCATCTGCAGACTATTTTGTAAAACAAATCTAAAAACAAGTAGCTGAGGTTTAAAAATGTAACAAAAGAGACCTTGTTCCTGAAGCACTGGAAAACAGAGACAGTTACAGAAGAAAATAACACTATGAAAGACCCCACCAGAAAAGCTGCTCTGATCTGCCTACCTACTGACTGGCGAATTTATGCCAGCAAGTCCTTCCAACGCACTTAAAAAACCCCTCCAGCAGAGCAACATCTGTACTTGTCACACCACATCCACTTTACAAGCTCTTATACTTGATTAATTGCTCAAATATAGTCATGAGTCACAGCAGGCTGGGCATTTGGGTATCCCATTCCTGAAACTGGCCAGTCAATATAAATTCCAGCTGGCAAGAAGTACACTTCAGATCACTCAGAGCTGCAGACCGGCTGGCTGCTCTGGCTATAAGGCAGCCAAAGGAGGAGCTCAGCAGCAGCATGTCGCTGCTCCTGCTCTTCCCTACTTTACCATTTCAGAGGTTTAAACCACCCTGAAATTCACTGATGTATAATCACTCAGACTTATTTGTCATTTGTGAGATTTTGAGATTTCCTGAGCTCTAGTTTAGAACTAACCTTGATGGTGGTCCTGCTTTAACCAGGGAGCCAGGACTTTCTACCAGATGCCATCAGAGACCACTCACGACCTGAATTATCCTCCGAAACACTTTGCAGTGCCTATTTTAGCCCAGGCAAAGGCTAAGGAGCAGCTGCACATGTGTTTGTGTTAGCACACCTTGACATCAGAGAAATGGTGGAATGGCACCAAGCAGCTGGAAGAGATAACCGTAACTATACCACACAGCACAAGTTCACCCCCCACAGTGGGATAGGGAAGAGAACTGGAAAAAAGCTAAAACCTGTAGGTTGAGTTAAGAACAGTTTAAAAATTAAGGTATAATACCATACTAATACTACTAATAATGATAATAACGAAAAAGAAAATAACAAAGAGAGAAATAAAACAAAAAAACCCGCAACAAATAGTATGATAGCCAACACCATTGCTCACCACCTTCTAACCACGGCCTAGCTCATCCCCAAGAAGCAACCAAACTGTTCCAGGTAACTCCCCCCAGTTTATATACTGGGCGTGACATGCTGTGGTATGGAATACCCCTTTGGCTAGTTTGGGTCAGGTGTCCTGTCTCTGCTTCTTCCCAGCTTTCTGTGTCCCTCCTCACTGGCAGAGCATGAGAGACTGAAAAGTCCTTGATTGTGGTAAGCATTACTTAGCAACAACTAAAACATCAGTGTGCTATCAGCATTGTTCTCAGAATAAATCCAAAACAGAGCACTGCACCAGCTACTAGGAAGAAAACTAACTCTGTCCCAGCAAAAAACAGGACACTGCTATTGAGCTCAAAACAGTGTACTGATCTCTGATACTTTCATGAAAAAAAAACAACCCCAGAAAACACCCAACAAAAAAAAGAAACCAAAACCCACAAAATA